TTTAGGGTTTCTTCTCATCATGCTTCCTTTCTGGTTGGTAAATTATCTGTGGCCCGATTCTGTCCTCAACCGGCGAGAGAGACGTGGAATTTGTTATGAACCTGTCAAGTGCTGCACTTGTCTTTGGCATATTTAGAACATATCTGTAACATATTTAAACCTCCTGTTAATATTGTCAGTGCAAACGAAATCATCTTGACAACTTGTCATGAAACAACTTAGTGACAGTTATGCTTGTACAGTTTAGAATTAATGAGATGGCTGTGAGCTAGTAAACTACTACTTTACAAAACGTTTGTATAATAGGCCAATATTTCAATGTATTAAAATTCTAACATGGTTCCGAGGTTAAGGGGAATGAAAAAAACGAAATTAAGTATTCATCCCTCATCCTTGAAGTGATTTTTTTTGTTTTCCCCCTAAGCCTCAGAGCCAAGTTTGAGTTTTTGCTTTGCATGGTTCGGCTTGGCATGGCTCCCAGCTGTGTGTGAAAATTTTGATATATTGAAATTTGCCTATTGGAAAATAATGACTTCACCAGAGAGATGGTTCCAAAATTTCACTGGTTCTCCTGAAGAACAACCTCTTATTTAAAGGGCATATCATATTGTCAACTAATGGCTAATCCCAGGGAGAAACAGTTGTTTTCTGAGAATCATAATGTTACCTAAGACAAAGTTAGGGAAAAGTTCATAATTATAAACTAACTGGTTTCTTTAGAGAACAGCGTGTTTGGATATACTGCTGCTAGGATACATTTGAATTAAGTCAGTGACACGTGACATGTGTGTCAGGTGCAAGCCCTTAGTTGTATAACAGTCTTTCATATATCAGTTAAATCTGTACGTGTATATAGCTATTTATTATTAGTGTAACGCACTAATGAACCAAAGGTTTGGAATTTGTCACAAAAAAGCTTGGTCTGCAGGGTGCAAAGAAACCAATTTTGGGAAAGCTGTAACTACAGTGTACTAGCCTCGAAAACTTCCCTCTGTTACAGTATTTCTGTAATTTGAATTTCCTCAAAAATGTTCTCAAAAATGTTTCCTGATTGCAAAGGAAACATGATGCAGTCAGTAAGTGAAAATTAAAATTAAATCATACATGTGCTAACGTTTTCCCTCACTTAATATGTTAACAGTTACACTATTCTCTGCATTGAATTTAGTTTTCTGTTATTAGTCTGCATGTGGTCAGGAGAGTAGTTGTAGGTACCTGTAAATAAGTACATGTATCAAGCGTACGCTCACACCCCGCTCAGCCATGTTTTTTCAGTCATTTTTTCAATTTAAGTTGTAATTTTATTTTAGTTACGTAGAGAAGCAGAAAATAATTGAATACTCAAGCTCTGTAGGTTACTCACCGTAGATTACGCTGTAAATATAGATGTATTTTTTAATAAATGATTTGTGCCATTAAACTCTGGTCCCTTTTCACTGCCTTTGTCTGGCGATGCTTGAGGGGCTTGACAACACCACCGACAAACCTTCACCATCAAAGTCAGGGACTATCAAAGTTCTCCGTTAGTCCATTTTCGACGTTAACAAGGATGTTTCTTCCTTAGTACTGGTGGAAAAAAGTGTGACAGTGTTCAGCTTGAGAGAAAGACAGAGAGAGAAAACTTGGAGACAGAGTTGAAGCACATACTGCAAGTAGAACTAGGGGAGTGCTTGATTATGTTAACTTCTTCAGGTGACTTCTTCTGTGGCTGGTGCCATTACAGGGCTCAAAATAACGGCCGGTCAGAACGGACAATGTCCGGCCAGAATGGTGACTTGACCGGCCTAACACTTCACTCGCCGTTCATGTAGACCGGTCACGTCATGTTGAGACGGTCACGTCGTTCATTCTTGAATAAACAATCAAATCCTCAACTGAAAATCTTAGATTTTTAATCTCTTATTTGTTATGACCTCTTGTACGAAAACATACACCAACGGGTATCTGTTCGAACGGCTAAAAATCGTTCGCTTGCTGTTTGTCATGCGGCTGGGGTTGTCCGTTCAGAAAATGTTCAGTCGTTCGAACAACTACTGCTATCCGTTCGAAAAAAAATTTCATCTGTCAGGACGGCAGAGGTCTTCAATTCAGAATTCAAAACTATTCAGCCTTTCGAACAGCAGAGGTTTTCCGTACGGCTAAGGGAATCCGTTCAGATTCAGCTTTTCGTGTCGCTTTAGACTTGCCTAACTGTCACACTTTTTGTTGGCGTATATTTCAGATACAGATATACAGATGTACAGATGTCAAGATATTAGTCGTTTCTTTCACTTTCACCGCACAAAAATCGACGAACAAGACGCCAAAACAAAACTTTTCGCTCGATTGTCAAGTTGTTTCCAAATTAGACACTATGGACTTCCTGGACATCAAAACACGCATTTTGCAGTCTGCTGCGTTTCCATCAAACCGAAAATGTGACATTGAGCTCAATCCCAGTATCTAATTTAGAACCAACCGATAAAAGGTACTGTTACAAAACAATTAAAATAATTATGTACCAACAAAAAAAAGCCGAAGGCCTTATCTGTTTCTGCAGAGGTATTTTGTTCGCGAATGAAATTTATGACACTTTCAACTCGTTGCTTAGCACGTGACCAAAATCTACCCACTATCATTGGTAAAATCTACCGAATGATGGTCCTTAGTTCTTCGTACAGAGTTTAGATTTTTTATGGCTCACACTTTAGAACTTAGTTTTAGTCACATCATTAAGAAACTTCCCAACACTTGTAGTGTAACTGTAGCCGTATTTGTAGTAACGCCATGATTTGATGTGCGTTTGCACGGGTGAGAATCGAGGAGACAGAAACTTCTTCGGCTATATTTGTTTACCCAGTTATTTCTGAAGCCCAAAATTAGGATCTGCTGATGCATGTTTGGTTTCATCTACGTTTTGATGGACATAAATACTTTGTAGAACTTCAAAACAACAGCTCATGGAATTATACCGATCGAAATATACGAAGTTTCATTAAATGTGCATCCATTCAGTACTTTTTCTTTGGCAGGTGGCAAGAGGGTCTCAGCAGCTGCTGAGCCCCGCCAAGGCTATCTTTGGTCAGGTTTTAAGCTTTTCTTTGTATTTAGCCAATTTTTAAACGGTCTAGTAACGACTGGAACAAACAAATTATATTTGTGGGTTTAATTAGGTCAACATTACTTAATACTTTTTAAATATCTTGACCGTTCAAAAACGAGACGTGCACGTGACCGAGCTAAAAAGTTGGCCGGTCAACATGGCGGTTTGAAAATTACTTTGAGCCCTGCATTATTGGGGGTTCAACATAAGTTTGGCGGGATGCGGGATGACTGGAATTTTCATGGCGGGATGCGGGATTAAAATACTTCGGCGGGAGCGGGATGTACTAATTTTTTTTTACCGGCAGAAAGTTTTAGAATTGACGGCGGGATGTGGGATCGAGAACAGGAAGTCACTCGTTACGGATGTTACTTACAAAGCTAGATCGGGATAAACATTCTGAGTAGGGCAGGATGGCGAAACTGAGCCAAATATAGTGGCGGGATGCGGGATACTCAACACATCTTGACGTGGATCGACGAAACAATAAACGCAATAGGGAATTAATAATATTTTTTCTGATATCTTTTATAATCATATTATTGTGAATTACCCATCTATTGTGCTTGGGAGATAAATTGATCGCCATACAGACATTATAGAGAATTGGACAGTTTATCGTTTCGAATTTAATCGGCAATCTACAGTCGTCGAAACTCGAGCCAACACGCCTAAAGAAGGTATGATTCTTTGAGGCAATAGCTGGTTTTCACATGACGTCACCAAATTTCGAACTACAAAACTATTGATCTTCCTGAGATTTTACTTAAATGATGTATAAGAGCAGCTGAAAACTAACATTCATACAAATTTTCGCTNCGAGGGATAAATTCACGCTTTTGTAGCAAACCTTAGTGACAGATGTTTCTGTTGGTTTCCGGCCGCCATGCTGATGCCCATACTAATCTCTATAATCTCTATATGTCTCCGCATATCTCGTGTAAGAAAAATTGCTGTGACCAGAATTTTGGCGAGAGTCTTTGCATATTTACCTTGTTTCATTTCCCAGTTTCTGGACTTTATCTACTGACCTGTTTTGATTTTTATTTTGATCTATTTTTAATTGCGTGACACTGAAAACCAGAAATTATTATTATGATTAGCTTTCGCTTTCATTACTCGGCTGACAACGGGCTCGTGAATCCGTGATTAATAATAAACCTTTCTCGAAACAGCCGACATTAGGGAGCCATAACCCTATTATATATAGCTCTTGTGACACGGCAGTATTAAAATATTTTTTTTAGCCATCTGGGGCCATCGTTCTCTAAGGGTGGGATGTTGACTCGTAGCCATATACAGGAAAAACTCCGGTCGTTTTACTCAAACCGGTGTTGACGTAGACGCCGAGATTTGTTTTCGCCTCTTTGCTTTGCGGATAGTTCATTAATGAAATCACTATTCTCGGCTTGAGAGTTTTGTAAAAATAAGAAAAAAAGGAAGAAAAAAAGGAAGAAAAATTGAAATTGAGCGGCCAGTGATAACTAGTCACTAGTGACCAGAGAAATCAATCTCGATCGAGTTCCCTTTATTTGGGAGAAACGTTACGAAACTTACAAGTCATACATGTAGTTGCATCTTTATAAGGAGTGGGAAAAGTATTGAGCGAACTTCTGTATAACCGGGGCAAGAGAATGCAAACAGCGGCTGCTGTGTTTAATTAATTGATTGGAACAAGTGCTTCGAGGCCAAAGGGAAAAAGTAGAGTTAAAAGGGACAATTCACTTCTCTGAATTATTCAGTTTCACTTATAATATTCTTTTAATATTCTTATTCTGCACGAATGGTGCATTCAAGGTTTCATTACATCAAAATTTTTCATTCCATGTCGTAGTTATAATATTTCAAATGTTTTTACAGAGATTTCCAAGAGTAAAGATAATTCCACGCTTTTCCATCATGCGATGAACGCGATGAAACTTGTGCTTCAGTTAGTGGGAAACATCTGGAAAAAATGGAAAAGAAAGTAAAAGCTTTTAAAAACTCGCTGCAGGCAGTGTAGGTGTAAGTAGCTGACCTGCATTCATTATGCCATATGTATACTGCGCAGTCTCATAACCTGTCTTAATGCACGTTACTTCATCTGCAAGAGCTAATTGTCTTTGATCTGACCACCGACGCGGAAGTGGGATGTTTCCCTTCCGAAAATGTTAGCTTCAATTTCCGATATTTCGCTAATTTCGGAAATGCCATTTGTTAATCCAATTGAATAGTAGCTGTTGCAGAGGTAAAGTAGCACCATTAATTTAATGCCAGTGAAGAAAACAAAACACACGTTAAGCTTTATTATACATTCCATTCGGTCTTGAAAACTTTAGAATATGTAAGCCTTACAAGTAAGTCCAAATACCTTCTCTTCCATTTCACTATTCTTTTCCTATCTCTTTTTGTATCAAAAAGTTTAACTGACTTGAAACTGGAAGTTTTGACTAAAAAACATATTGCAATCAACATGAACACGAGATTAGAACAAACCCTCAGTATTAGAATCAGTTTGTATTTTTGAAACGGCACCCTAAGATTTGGTCGTTTATTATAAAAAAGAAAGAAAGGTAAAGAGTAAAAGATTGATCAGAGCTGGAGATCAAAGCGTTAACAAGTTTGTAGCCGTTAGTGGACATTGGATTAGCGATAAATTATAGAGGCCTACATAAAGCAAAGCGTTCAATGATGGGTAAAACCTGCGCAATATAGCTTACAGTACTCGCTCAGTATAAAAAAATATTACGTAACTCAGTTATAAGTTACCTGATACGTTCAATCCGAAGGGCATTTTCTAAACCTAGCCCAGCGAAAGCCTGAGCAGTCTGGTTTATAAGTTCGTTTATAAAGCGTTCTGCTACGTGATCTTCTAATTACCAATGGCATGATATTCTCAAGTTCCTGATTAGGGCCATCATCTTGTTTTTGCGACGAGGCTGACAGAGTGAAAAAAACCAAGAAACAAACGATAACCAGTCTGTTGGCGATCATTGTCAGAGCTGCGTCTATTCTGAGAATTAGTTGCACGTCTTCAGGGTTTAAGTAGGTTATGTTCTTCACGGTTAAATAACCAGTGTGACAACAAGCTATTATAAAAACATCTGCTAAGTGCATTTTGATTTTGAAGCATTTATTGAGAAACGAAAGCGTCCCTATTAAGTTGTCAAAGGACTAAAATGTTTCAAAATGCCTAATTTTTAATTTGGGGCGTTAAAATGAACCTCAATTATCGACCATATGGTTAAAAGTGAGTTTCCTTAAATTCATTAAAAGGTTTTACCACTCTTTGTTAAGAGGCAGGCCGGATACTGTCACGTCTGATGTTTTAAGACTTATCGTCAGTTTAATTGTCGGAT